TTCTGGGGTCAAGAAGGCATTTCTTACTTGTTTGTTGCACAATTGGAAGCACTTCAAACTGTTTTTAGCCTTCTTTTGGATCAACAGCAAAAATCAAATAATTATGTGTTAGCTCTACCTAAAAGGGATTATCACCTAAACAAAACCTTAAGACTATATTGCTGTTTATAATTAATAAAAAATATTTAGTAAGAAAATCATAATATTAGGATAAGTTGATATTATCAAATATGTTTAAATATTGTATTGAAGGTTTATTAAAAATTTTATTGAAGGTTATCCTAAAAACACATTTGGGATTATTGTTATGTTAGGAGTAAAGTAATTAAGAATATATAAAGAGGATTGTGTAAGAAAAATCTAATCACTTAAAACTTAATGAATTAACTACTAAATATATGAAAATGAAAATATTTTATTATATATACAATAAAAAAATAATATATTCTTATTTATATGCTTTATTACAGAAATAAAAATTATAATTGAATATAATTTATGATCCAAAGTTTTCTAATAATAAAAGGGGGTTTTGTCTAAATAAAACTATAGAAAAAACATTTGTTTCTCTTAAAAATTATTGCCTGAGGTAATACTTATAATTAGCTAAAAGGAATATTAAATTAGTTTTAATTATTTCAAACATAATAAACCTCTTGTGCCTAGAGTGTCAAAAAGTATGTCTATATCATAATGCTATATTAGGAATAATATAAAAATATATATATAAGGAAATATTAAAATAATATATATATATAATAGCCTAAAAACAAAACAAAAAAACAAACTAACAAATGTGGGAGATTGGAATCCAGCAAGATATATCTATATTTCTATTAACTGTCAGAACAATTTGGAGCCCTGTTTTATCCCTTCAAATTCCTTTAAATACATGGTAAAACACAACAATGGGGCAAAAGCAAAGGAACAGCTGTACGTGCTTAAATGTATTTTAATTATTTTGTTCTGTACAAAGGTTTGCCTGCAGGGCCGGACTGGGAAAAAAATTCGGCCCGGGCATTTTTTTATCACAGCGGCCCACTAAGAAGGGGGCGGGGCAGAGAGGGTGTGTTTTGTCATCACTCATGACAAACACGCTCCCTCTCAAAGTGAGCATGTTGGTTCAATGCTCTTCCAGGGCACACCATGCGCAGAGCTCTGCTGAAGAGCTCTAGCATGAGAAAAAAGCCCTGTATTTGTTCTGCACAGTGCAAGCAAATTTAATAACATGCTTGCACTGTTTCCTTGCAACTTGTCTCTGGTGTCTCTATAAATGGATACCAGGAGACAAAAGGGCCAGGAAAGAGTATTGTGCATGTGTTTGGAGCCTGTTTGTGGTATTACGTTTGTGCAGAGTGAGCTGGTCATGGTGTGGTATTGTGTAATAAGGTCTGTTTTAGTGTGTGTGAGTGCTGAGTGTGATAGTGCTGTGTATGATGTGTGATGTGTGTGAGAGTGCTGTGTGTGAGTGTTGTGTGTTATGTGTGTGAGTGCTGATTGTGATAGTGCTGTGTATGAGTGTTGAGTGTGATAGTGCTGTGTATGATGTGTGTGAGTGCTGAGTGTGATGTGTGTGAGAGTGATGTGCCTGAGTGCTGTGTGTGAGAGTGTTGTGTGATGTGTGTGAGAGTGCTGAGTGTGAAAGTGCTGTGTGTGAGAGTGTTGCTGCGATGTGTGAGATTGCTGTGTATGATGTGTGTGAGAGTGCTATGATGTGTGTGAGAGTGCTATGATGTGTGTGAGAGTGCTATGATGTGTGTGAGAGTGCTATGATGTGTGTAGAGTGCTGCGCTGTGTGTGTGAGAGTGCTGTGTGTGAGAGTGCTTGTGTGTGAGAGTGTGAGTGCTGGGTGTGATAGTGCTGTGTGTGATGTGTGTGAGAGTGCTGTGTGTGAAAGTGTGATGTGTGTGAGAGTGCTGTGTGTGAGAGTGCTATGATGTGTGTGAAAGTGCTATGATGTGTGTGAGAGTGCTATGATGTGTGTGAGAGTGCTGCGTGTGATGTGTGTGAGAGTGCTGGTGTGAGAGTGAGAGTGTGTGAGAGTGCTGGGTGTGATGTGTGCTGAGTGTGAGTGCTTGTGAGAGTGAGTGCTGATGTGTGTGAGAGTGCTGTGTGTGAGAGTGCTGTGTGTGAGAGTGCTGAGTGTGAGAGTGCTGAGTGTGAGAGTGCTGGGTGTGATGTGTGTGAGAGTGTTGTGTGAGTGCTGAGAATGCTGAGTGTGATAGTGCTGTGTATAAATGTTGTGTGTTGGGGGGTAAATAAACAAATAAAAAATTAAGTGGGGGTAAATATATAAAAAAATAAAATAAAAACTAAGCAAAAAAAAAACTAAACCCCCCCCCTCCCTTCTTACCTTTAGCCTGGGAGGGGGGGACAGGCACGTGGTAGCTGGGAGGGGGGGCACCGGCACTCGCACACCATCCCTGGTGGTCCAGTGGTGAGTGAACTCTCTCGCGAGATCGGGGCGTTGCCATGGCAACGCTCCGGATCTCGCGAGAGAAACCCGGCGGAGCTGTAAGACAGAGCTCCGCCGGGTCCTCTCCCTCCCTCCCCAGCCGCAGGTCTATTTAAATGGGCCGGTGAGGGAGATCTTTGATCCCCCCACCGGCCCATGGAGGCACACAGCGGGGCCGGCGCTCGGGTAGCGCTGGCCCTGCAGGAGCCGGCCGGGGAGATCCTGTGATCTCCCCTGCCGGCCTCGGCCCCACGGACACCGCGGCCCACCGGGCATTTGCCCGGTGTGCCCGATGGCCAGTCCGGGCCTGTTTGCCTGTATGTACATTTGGAGCATTTCCATGCTATTATTACCGGCTGTGTCCATGTTACAAAATGTAGAGCTGAATAGCAATTTTCCCATAGATTTTTACCCTGTTAAGAGAATCCAGCTCTATGTTTTGTTGCAACAAAACTATCCACTATTGTTAGCCCAATAGTGGATGGTAAATGACTGTAACAAGCATGACAATTATGCCAAGTATAATACCTAATGACTGGTAAGTAGAGGGTACCAAAAGGTTTTAACATTACTCTTAGAGATAAATAGTGGTTGCTACACATTAACATGTTAATTTACTAAGTATCATAAGAGCTGTTGGGCTCTGAAGTTAGTTTAAAAATCTGTGATATTTATAAGGTTAATGACTGCAAATTCTCAATACATTCTGTGTTTACAAAATACATTTCTTCTATATTTAAGTGCATTGAAGAACTAAATTCTATCTATAAGCATAAAAATAAAAATGTCAGGTGATTGGAAACCTGTTGGTATTTTTTTAGCCAGATGCATTTCTTTCTATATTTAAGTACATTGAAATACTGAATCTATCTACAAGCATAGCAAATTTCTGTGAAATATCAGAGCCACACACATTTACTGGCTCTTGGTATTAAAGGAACACTATAGCATTAGAAATACAAATCTGTATTCCTGATGTAATAGTGTCTTTATGTCTACTGTTATTTAGGTCCACTGCTGTCATGATTACACTTACCCGGAGGATCCTCACCGCATCTCCGTCCGCGTATATAGCGTCTCCCCTCAGCACACGCCGAGGATTCTGGCATGCTTAGCCTCAGGAACAAGCGCCAACATCCCTGTGGCACATGGGCACAGTACTGCGGCTCTCACCCACAGCTCCAACCTAAACTCCACAAGACTCTTGGCACTCGCAAAAAAAGAAGGCCTCTTAAAGGGACCAATCACTTTTAGTCAATAGTATGTTAGAGGTTGATACCTCTCACCTATATAATCTTAGTCTACCCTTACCTCAGTGCTCAGTTATACTGTGCTCTTCGATGTGTACACTTCTGTGAAACCTGTTATCATCTGATCCTTGACCTACCTACCTATTATGCCGTACCTGAATTTACACTGCCTGACACATGACATCGGCTTTTACAGACTACAAAATTGTCTCATGGTATCTCGCATTTGACTTGCTACAGCCTCCTAGGCAAAACCTGTCAAAAAAACAAACAGAATAACTGAGCCTAACATGGAGCCCGCAGAGTTAGCCGAAACGCTAAACACTCTGACAAGACAAGTATCCACATTAACACAAGTCGTACGGGAATGACAGAATTACAGACATGTGCTGCTTCCTCTGTTATTGGATCTATGCTGCTCACCTGGTTCCTCTGCCAGAAGATCATGCCATGGTACCAGAACAACAAGTGTCTTTGCCAAAATGCTTCTCAGGTGATAGGTCTAAATACCGTGCCTTCATCATGGCTTGTGAACTGTTATTTGATCTGAAGCCAAGAACTTATTACTGTGATGCTGTCAAAGTCCACACCATTATCACTCTTCTCTCTGGTCCACCAGAAGAATGGGCAAATGACTTCTTGCACATTAATGACCCAGTGTTCAAACCTGGAATGTTGTTGTTGCTGCCATGTCTGCTATGTATGATGATCCTAATAGACAACAAATGGAAGAAAATAAATATCCAGGCAAACCTGAGCTTTCTTCTAAAAGGAAGTCTTTTTTTTTTTTTTTTGAAACACGGAAGTGGAGACAACATTTCGGCTCCTCTCCAAGCCTGGTCTATTGGTACCTTACTGTTCTCTTTACCTCAGTGCTCTCAGTACTGTCTAAATAATACATAAAATGGTTTCATTCATTCCATATTAGAGATCAACATGCAAAAGGGTCAATAATTGTTCCTTCCTGATGTTTATAAGTAATATCAAGATATATTTGATAAAAAATGAGTAAAGACATTACCACCCCATTGAATATATGATTGCTCAATCGACTTGCTGCCAGGAGCACCTATTCCTTTGAGAAGAATAGACCCCTTATCTGAGAAGGAACTAAACATCTTAAAAGAATATATACATAATACATGATATATATATATATATATATATATATATATATGAAAATCTAAAAAAAAGGTTTTATCGGTGCTTCTATTTCTCCTGCAGGGGATGGTATATTATTTGTGGGGAAAAGGGATGGCAGCTTAAGATCTTGTGTGAATTACAGAGAGCTCAACCACATCACCATCAAAAATAAATATCCACTAACACTTATTCCTTAACTTATGGAACGTCTTCATTCTGTACACATATACTCCAAACTTGACTTACAAGAAGGTGTTCCTACAACCTACTCAGAGGGGAGGATGATGAATGGAAAATGGCATTTCGTACCTGGTACGATCATTTTGAATATTTGACCATGTCCTACGCACTATGTAACACCCCTGCCTCCTTTCAGCATTTCCTCAATGATACGTTTCACAATCTCCTCGATAGATGTATACATAGCTGTTTACTTGGATGACATCATGGTATTATCACAGATCTACAAACCTATCGCCTTCATATGACTGAAGTAATGAAACGTTTGCAGAAGATTAACGTTTATGCAAAAAAAGAAAAATGCATCTTCGAAACTGACTGTGTGGAATTTCTGGATTTTATCATGAAACCAGGCAAAGTGGACCCCAGAAGCGTTAATTCCATTCTTGAATGGCCCACACCCCAGAACACAAAACAAATACAGCAATTTATAGGATTTGCTAACTTTTATCAATAATTCATCTGCAACTTTTCAAAAGTAATCCAACCCCTAACAACCTTACCAAAAAGGAGGTGAAATGGAGTTGGTCTTCCTGGGTTCGATAATCTGAAATAATTATTTACTACTGCACCCATCCTTCATTTACCACACCCTGAGAAACCCTTCTTTCTGGACGTTGACGCAGGAGCAGTGCTATCACAGAGATGTCAAAACAAGATTATTAGATCTGATAGCCTGTTATTCTCACAAATGAACAGACACAAAGTCCAATTATGAGGTAGGAGACAAGGAGTTATTAGCTATTGACAAAGCATTTGAAGAATGGTGGCATTTATTGAAAGGGGCTAAATACCCCATAACTGTGTATACCGACCATAAAAATCTTGTATATCTCTAACAGCCATACATCTCAATCCCCGACAAACAAGATAGGCACAGTTTTTTACTTGTTTTTCATTTCATGTCGCCTATCGACCAGGATCAAAAAAACTAAAAGCCGATGTACTCTCAAGGATGCATTCTTCTAAAACAGATAAAACTAAACTAGAAATGACAGTATTACAGAAACATCACTTTGTTGGTCTCATGTCTCACATCCTACAGGAGATAACACAAACTGCCACCTCCGATAAACTTCCCACATCACCAGAAGGTTATTCTTTATCCCATGGAAAAATCCTTGAACCAGAAAATACCCATCTCAAAGTTCTTTACCATTATCATGATACACCCTTGATCATCATGGGGGGCAAAGAAAGACATTACAGGGCATAAGACGGCAATTCTGGTGGCATTTGACTTATTACTGCCTTCTGTGCACCTCCTGTCAAAAACTCCAAACAATTGCACTGCATTCACATTTTAAAAATCAAATATGTACTTACCTTTTTCCAGGAGAGGCTTCTTCAGTGATGCTTACCTCTCTTAGTCCAATACAATGCTCTTTATAGAATACATTTTGGTCTTTATGACAGCACCACTGCTGAAAAACACATTTTCTGGGTGTGGCACCAGTTTCCTTTTTTTCTATATATGTTTGGAGTTCAGAAAAGATTACCTTTTGGGTTGAGCACCCTGCCATTTCCCTTAGCTTCAGATGCAACTTTGGCAGTAACCAAAATAAAGTATACATTTGAAGAGGTTTTCATAGCAATGTCACTTTAATATTAATTTTCATTTTATATAGAGCAGATAGATGATTTGCATTGTGAGTGTGTACATTAAAGCACTATTATGTTAATTGTTTCGTTTTGACACTACATATTTTGCATTGTGTTTTTTACCACATTCATTTTGCATTATACAGTTGTAAGAAAAAGTATGTGAACCCTTTGGAATGATATGGATTTCTGCACAAATTGGTCATAAAATGTGATCTGATCATCACAACAATAGACAATCACAGTCTGCTTAAACTAATAACACACAAAGAATTAAATGTTGCCATGTTTTTATTGAACACACCATGTAAACATTCACAGTGCAGCTGGAAAAAGTATGTGAACCCCTAGACTAATGACATCTCCAAGAGCTAATTGGAGTGAGATGTCAGCCAACTGGAGTCCAATCAATGAGATGAGATTGGAGGTGTTGGTTACAGCTGCCCTGCCCTATAAAAAACACACACCAGTTCTGGGTTTGCTTTTCACAAGAAGCATTGCCTGATGTGAATGATGCCTCACACAAAAGAGCTCTCAGAAGACCTACGATTAAGAATTGCTGACTTGCATAAAGCTGGAAAGGTTATAAAAGTATCTCCAAAAGCCTTGCTTTTCATCAGTCCACGGTAAGACAAATTGTCTAGAAATGGAGAAAGTTCAGCACTGCTGCTACTCTCCCTAGGAGTGGCCGTCCTGTAAAGATGACTGCAAGAGCACAGCGCAGACTGCTCAATGAGGTGAAGAAGAATCCTAGATTGTCAGCTAAAGACTTACAAAAGTCACTGGCAAATGCTAACATACTTGTTAGCGAATCTACAATACGTAAAACACTAAACAAGAATGGATTTCATGGGAGTATACCACAGAGAAAGCCACTGCTGTCCAAACAAAACATTGCTGCACGTTTACAGTTTGCACAAGAGCACCTGGATGTTCCACAGCAGTACTGGCAAAATATTCTGTGGACAGATGAAACCAAAGTTGAGTTGTTTGGAAGAAACACACAACACTATGTGTGGCAAAAAAGAGGCACAGCACACCAACATCAAAACCTCATCCCAACTGTGAAGTATGGTGGTGGGGGCATCATGGTTTGGGGCTGCTTTGCTGCATCAGGGCCTGCACGGATTGCTATCATCGAAAGAAAAATGAATTCCCAAATTTATTAAGACATTTTGCAAGAGAACTTAAGGCCATCTGTCTACCAGCTGAAGCTCAACAGAAGATGGGTGTTGCAACAGGACAATGACCCAAAGCATAGAAGTAAATCAACAACAGAATGGCTTAAACAGAAGAAAATACGCCTTCTGAAGTGGCCCAGTCAGAGTCCTGACCTCAACCCGATTGAGATGCTGTGGCATGACCTCAAGAAAGCGATTCACACCAGACATCCCAAGAATATTGCTGAACTGAAACAGTTCTGTAAAGAGGAATGGTCAAGAATTACTCCTGACCGTTGTGCACGTCTGATCTGCAACTACAGGAAACGTTTGGTTGAAGTTATTGCTGCCAAAGGAGGTTCAACCAGTTATTAAATCCAAGGGTTCACATACTTTTTCCACCTGCACTGTGAATGTTTACATGGTGTGTTCAATAAAAACATGGCAACATTTCATTCTTTGTGTGTTATTAGTTTAAGCAGACTGTGATTGTCTATTGTTGTGACTTAGATGATGATCAGATCACATTTTATAACCAATTTGTGCAGAAATCCATATCATTCCAAAGGATTCACATACTTTTTCTTGCAACTGTATACCTTCACAATGCTCTTTCAACAGATTAAGTAAATACACTTTGGTTCATTTAGCTCTATTTAATTTATATTCCACATTGAAATTAGTGTAAGACCCACCAATATTGGGATACTGCAGCGTAGTGGTGGGCTTAACACGATATAGCCATATGGTGGAACTGAATCTGCCTATTTGTTTGCTGAGATAGGTGATTTAAAGCGGCACTGTCATGCCTAACTTACCTTTCTCATATTGATTCCACTTCTCATCCTCTCTCAGGATCTGTTCTTCATTTCTTCCTGTCTGCTCTAGTTTTCTTTAAAACATAAGACAAAGTAGGGACTATTTTGTCTTATGCAAAAATTGTGATATGTACAGGCACTCTTCTATCTATATTGGTGCTAGGTATCAAGGTAGCCCACATTTATTACCTTAAATATATATACACAAACATATGATACCGCACGCAAATGATTTGTTAGAAAGAAACTTATTTTTAATTAATTGCCTGTTTCAATATGGATGATTATTTTAAATCAATATGAGATATACAATCAAGGCAATATAAGATGCTTTGTAAGTAACTTATTACACATAACCTATCCTATCACAACCAATTACAGTGATACACCACACATAAATAAATCAACCCCAATAGAGTCTGACTGTGTCAGTAGTGATAGTGCATAACCGCACTGTATGATAGAGAGCTCTATGTATAGTCAACTTTGGGTATCTTTCTGGGAGGAAGTTATGTTGAAAAAATTTTTGAAAAAAAGATTATTGTACAAAAAGGAAAAAAAGAAAAAAGCAAAGTCTGCTCCATTTCCTGTGGTCAAAGAAATTTTCCCATAATTCTAACCTTCCTCCTGCTGCTTCATTCGGCATTCGAACGCTGGCAAAACTACTAAATTTCTTCCTAACAGAATGTGAACAGTTTGTCCATTCGTGTTAGTGAATTTTTATTTGGATCGGAATTTCATTAGAATTAATGAAACTCCAATCCTATTCATTCCTCACTAATTCCCACAGTATTTTTTAAAGGATTACTTAGTATTAGTAATTAAGGGAGATTACAATCTCCCTTCAGCCCCTACGCGCTATACCACGAGTAGGGGTATGTCTACTAAACAGTGAACATTTAGCACACATTTGGCTTTTAAAGTAGGTCCTTCCAAAGATGGAGTACATTGATGCTGTGGCAGGCTTATGCAATGTATGATCATATAATGTAACTAAACCCCCATTATTTTTTGCCTAGATTTAAAAAAAAAACTAATTCTGTCAGCACCAAAGTTGCTGTTTACTGGATAAGGGAGTGTGCTGGATTTTTATTTTTTGTACTAAACAGTGAGCAGCCAGCCCTAACATTCTAATAACTTGCCACTTAGTGGGGCACCTTTAAAAATATTGCACGGGGGGGCGGAGCCTGACTGGCAAGAGGAGCAGACGTGTGGGTCCTGAGCTCCTGCTAAACAAGTAATAAAAGCGGATTTAACCCTGAACAAACAGCGATCAAACCCACTGATGGGCAGTGCACAGCCCAGAGGGAACACAGAGATAAACCCCAATACCTTAATTTGCGGGAGACTGGAGAGACGCCGTTGTGGCCTACTAAACCGGAGCTAGAGAGAGGCAGCCGACCTCCCTGCTTCCTGGTAACAAACGAGATCATGCAAGCTTCTAACCCCCCCTCCCCCTTGGACCGTCGGGGGTTATCCCGGTCCCTACTCGACTGCCCTAAGCAAACAACTCGACAAGCGGACCTCGCGTGGGGTCCAAACAAACGAAGAGACCTGACCCAAAATGGCGGCTACCACATGGCCAACAGAGAAGGCAAACGAACAGAGTGAGCCAGCCCTGTGCTCTGTGGACCGCATAATGCAGAGACTAAGCGAGCACTTCCACCAGCTATGTGTAGAGACCCACATAATCTCTACACCGCCCAATCCTCGAGATGGAGGACGGGGTGGCAAGAAACGGAGGGTGAGGAGGACCTCCTCGGGCCTAAAGCACCCAGACAAGCCTGCACCTCACATTGCTGGCCCACCTGGGTCGAGGGCCACCAAGGGCACAACCCGAAGGCATCACCCACATGGACGGAGGGACGGCCACCACAGAAAGCGGCAGACCATCAGCTCCACCCATTACTCCCGCCATGGGATGGACCCGGCCCAAAGAAGTGCCTGGGTCCGAGGAGTAAAGATGTCGGCCTTTATCCCAGCCCGGGGCTGGAGAGAGGATGGACCTCACCCCCGTCGAACAGCTGCCTATGTACCCACCCCTGCAGCAAGAGCGGCCAGCCGGGCACAAGGTCCAAAGCGAGGATGCAGCTCACGTGAGCACCGCTGCAAGATCACTTTTTCACCGCTTCTCAACAGCCACAACGAGCCCCCAAGCGCCGGCATCGGCTGATAATGGACTCATACTGCAGGACAGGTCTCCAACAGCACTAGGCTGTGACCCTTGGGACCATCATTGACAACCTACCCCACTGTGCCACTGACCACCAGTACAAGACCCAGTTTGGACAGTAACATTAATAACACATGGACACGCGGAAACCCAATGGCTTATATGCCCTATACGCCCTATATGCTAAGTTTACGTTTTTGACTCTTTCAGTTAGGCATTTATTCCTACAGCATGCATCATGAATACGGGACATTGACTCACATCGGCATATTAGACCGTAAGCTGAACATGTCTCTCTCTCTACTAACGTGCTTTACCTTTTCACTATCTATTTCCTTTATTGTTATAAGCTAAATTGTGCACTGTCTGCTTATAGGCGAAATCACATTTATAACGCCTGCTGGGGCAGTTCAGAAAGTCTACCCTAATATTTGTTTTCCACACTAACGTTGCTATTAGCCCTAACAGTTACTCTAGACTTATACTGTTTAGCCTGTTTAGTCTGTATGATATATAATTTAAAAATGTGCAACTTATGCGAATGCCACAACCATGTACATCTTCTTATCTCTCTGTTTGATGCAGCTGTTGTGGCGCACCAAGCAATGTTATCTCTTTGCACGCAATAAATAAAGCATTAAAAAAATAAAATAAATAATGCACAGGGGCCCCACTCATGCACCGCAGGTAAACTAAAGGCATGTCAACTAAATGGGGGACCTAGTGTCCCCCCTTGACCTCCTTGTCGCTTTAAATTATCTTGGAAAATGTAAAACTGTGTTTTTGTGTGTGTGCTGTTCCTTAATCTATATTTTGTATTACGTTTGGACTTTACGGTGGCACCACTTATGAAAATTGCATTTTCCAGGTGTGCCCCCAATTCACATTTTTCCCTGGTGACTATAGCCACAGCTGTTTTGTTTTTTTTAATGACAAGCCTATAGTTGTGACAGATAATATTAAGAATCACAAGAAAGGTGAACATAAATGAACATACTTAATAAGTTATGCTTATAAATGGGCCACTCTGCTTGATTGCATTGACCTTAATACAGCCTGCAGTATACATTTTCTATCAGCATTTCTATTAAAAAATTCTGTATTGTTCTCCTATCAATACATATAGCAAACTATACTGCATAGCACTGACTAAAGAATATTAAACTGCTTAACAGAGGGTGCTGTCTGCATTAACAATCCATTAGGCTGGTACAAAAAGGGCACAGAGTTAACTCAGTCTTAGCCACTACAACGTGATGCTTGATGCAACAGCATTCATTAAGCAGAATGTCTCTTCCACTTCTACAACTCTGTAAATTAACAATCCCTGTAGTATGAAAATAAAACCACTTTTTGTATTAGTGTTTGTAAAAAAATATAACGTGTAACCATCAAGAAGGTTTAATAATGAACTCAAGTAAAAAAAAAAAAACTCATATTGAATATGATATTCTGAATATTGTTTACAGGGCCTGTATATGTATTTCAGTTAGCCGTCAATATATTAAATGTGCCTATGAGAATGTTTAACTTCCTTTCATCTTATAGAGTGCAATTGCTGACCAGTTACATTTCTTTCACACATGATTACACAAATATTACTTCAAAGTCATCTGCCATGGACATTTTCCATGACAATACAATTTGCCCTTAAGTCTAATTAAATTTGTTACCAATGGGTTCCGCCTCTGATGTCTTCTAAGAAATCATTAACTACATAAACAAAGGTCACTGGGAGTTTAAAATCATGATCGCAAATATGTACTTCAGATAGGCAGACTTGGTGGTGTGGGCGCATAGATATATAATAATATTTCATATTATCTGTCCACGGTTTTAAATCGTATACTGCATAGTAAGCAATGTCACTCTGTTCAATAAAATATGTATTGCATAGTGAGGCAGACAGGACTCATAATCTCAGAGCAAGACTAGGACACATGTAAAAGACAACTGTTATAAAATTTCCACTCTCCATTTTTTAATGCAACTCACTGATTTGTTTTTAAGTGATGTATATCGATTATTGAATAATTTTTATATGGCTAAGCAGTCATGTTTGGTCAGATACTACTGTTATTCACCAACAGTTGCTTAATCTAACTTAAACTCTCCCACCTCCCCTCAGCCTCTTGGAAACCATCCTTAAACTCTTCCAAATTCCCTATAGTCAGACAGACGCAAGATTTGGAATCATAATTATATCCCCCCCCTCCCTCCCCCCCCAGCCCCCTCCCACTTGCAGACTGTAAAAAATGGGGGTAAACAACAACAAACCACTATTACAGTGGTCAAGAATCCTAACTCCAACAAATTCCAAAAATGTGGGTTGAGGGAAAGGGCTTTTCCATTCTCATTGAGGCAGGGGCCCTCCCCTCCCCTGCCATGCCCTGCCAGCAAGTCAATCAACCAGGAATTTCATCAGTGCCCCAGCCTCAACACCAACCCACCATGGCCAGTGGTTCACTGCCAGACTCCTCTCCCTTGACCATTTGCAGATACGATCAGCTGTCAGCCCAAACCACACCTTTTTTGCCACCAAAAAAGAGACTAGGACTCTTGTCGCTATCCTAATACATTTACTTACACCTTCCTTTTAAAATGCAGTTATTTGATGTTTTTTTATGAAAAAAAGACCTGTCTTGGATAAATGTACCCTGTCATGCCTATACAGTTCGGGCACATCCACCCTGATATTTAATTACATGCCCACCTGCTGCTAGCACAGTTCTTGCCATGTCCCTGTTTAGTTTTCTTTTGACTCAGAAGTCAGGTCTTTGGGAGCTTTTATATCTCCATGTTATCTTGGAAATTATGTACGACTATACAATAGATGAGGCAGGAAATTGCCTCATGATCCACCTTTAGCCTGACCTCATTATATTTGAGAGCTACCCAATGGTCATGGAGCTTACATCGTTCCCGCCCAGATGTAAGATTATGATAACTGGACATCCTCAACTCTTTATGGCTTCACATATCTGGGATGGGAGGTCATTACATATCATGTTTCACCTTCTGAGCCATCTTATTATATGGCACTCCGTGATAGTCCTTATGAGTTTGATGCTACTCGGATGACTGCCTAGTGTATATAAAAGTGGCCTATAATCCAGATCCTCCTGCACTGTCTGGTTCCAATGTATAGGATAGGCAGTGTGTCTATATGTCGTGTAGGTGCCTAACTGTTCTCACTGAAACCTCAGTGCCTGTTTCAAGTCTTGCTGTAGGTCTCTTGCAGTCAGTCAGGGGTTTTTCACAACCTGCCTTCTCAGAAATCTGGTTGCAGCCCATGGCAGAGCTTATAAATTCCTATGACTCAGAGACCCATAGTCTGCTATTTTATGTTGTGCTGTTATAGGTGCCTAAATGTTTCCCCATATGATTTGGTCCTGTGTATTAAATTAAATTTATTGATTGTCCAGATTGTGCTTTTCCCCTTCCCCACTTTTCCTGTCAATGTTTTCCCAGTAGGGTTTTTTTTTATTGTTCCAGGAAGACTTCCAGGCCAGTACTAACTGGCTACACAGCCACTCCTTTAAATCTATTATTGGTAGATTTAAAGGGGCATTTACGAGTATTTATGAGGCTCCATTCACACTGGTTGTAAGCCATTGCTACCCTGTCAATAGAAAGATCCCATAACATAGGGATGGTGCCTGTTAAATAGCATAGGGGGACCTGGTACAGGTGCATCACTAACATTGGGTTGGGAATAATAATTCAATATAGGGAGGTGGAGAGGGTCACTACCCATCCCCCTATCTCACCTGTGGCCAACATGTGTAAGCTCTGTAAGAAAATATTGAGGCAGACATACTATAGTCCCCCCCAAGTTACCCTTAGGCGCATGGAGGTATACTAACCTACAATTATAATGACCAAGGGGGGGACATGGTAAGCAGAAGACTATTTAGTAATAAATGGCAGGAGAGCATACTGTTGTCAACTGCCTTACTACTTTACCCTTGGGCATTGGGTGGGAGGATATTAAATGTGATGAAGGAGGTGGACTTGCCATTGTCCATCCCAGCAAAGTTAGGATCAATTCCCTCCCTGTCCCAAACTAACCCCAATAGTAAAAAAAAATGCAATGCATACTCCTCCCTACTTAATAAATGCGAAGGAGCATTAAATCTAACACCTGTAAAATATAAAAAATAATACCTATTTTCAGAAGTGTTTTTTTTATTTCTAATATATTTTTCTTCCCTCCAAAAGACCACAAAAAATCCATTACATTTCAATGTTACAATAAAAAAAAGAGACCTGAATCACAAAATCAAATGACAAAAAAAATAAAATTGCACTGCAACAAAAAAAAAAAAAAAAAATCCATGTGAACCCTAATATGGATCAATGCGGAATGAGCTTTTAAGGTGGGAAAAGTGTTTATGAAGGCTTTTCGGTGCTTTAAAATCTCAGTAGAGACTTACCTGGGAATATTCTCAGGCAAGTCTCATGAGAGATTAAACTTGCTTGTCAGGGGATAGGATTCAGAATATGTACAAATCACTGATTTTAAACTGACTAGGGACCAAATGCATTCAGCATTGTAATATACTATATTTGCAAATAGAAAAATATTTAGTGTGCTGAGACACTGATATCTCACGTATCAAAAGGATTGTGGTTTTCATAGACAGTGAGCTTTACCATGCAAATAATAAACACTCTTACCAGTGCCAACATTTCCAATTATTATGACTTTCTTAAAGAAGGTGAAGTATGCAAAAAGCATTGATGGTTGTGTGATGGACACTTCCAAACAAGAGGACCAAAGTGTGGCTATGTCAAAAGAGCAGCAAACAGACCCTCTCATGCACATGAGTCATGATGGACTCATCATCAGCATCAACAAATGATTTCAAGTGATGTTTTTGTTTTTTGTTACTAGTCTGATGGTGTTCTATAAAATAAATGCGTAAAAAAAAATGTTTAGTGCTTGTGTTTTGTTGTTAAAAGTTGGTAAATTCAAATAAAATTGAATTTTTTGGTTGTGTCCCTTTGTCTGAGTGATTCTACAGTACACGGTAAAAGATAAGGGGCCTTTACTTTGGCTTTTAGCTTTTATACCAGTAATAATAATAATAATAATAATAAAAAAAAATATAAAAACTTATAGGATTAATCAGACAATAACATCTTTTATTTTTTTATAAAATTTTCAGAGTTGTTAAAGAAGTATTATAATAAACTTTCTACAAATCATACAGCACTTTAGTGGCTTACTTTTGCAAAACTATAATATTCAGCAGGCAATGGTAATTTATATTCTGTACATTTAAATCCACCCTGAACATGTTATTTGGCAAGGTAGAAAGTGTTGTATTTTTTCTTTATTTTTCTTTCTTTCTTTCTTTTTTTTTAAAATAAAAACTACAAAATTACAAGGTAATTGTATGAATCAAGTTAATAGAAGCAATTTTATTTTGGAAAAAGAAATCCCACTGAGACAATTGGTAAAAGTGTAGGATGGACAATTTGACTGGGTCTATTCTCATAGGGGATTACTGAAGAGTGGCATTTAACATATCTTGCCTTAATATCATACTTCCTGTGATGTGAACCATTGAATAGAAACAACTCCTGTTATTCTAAATCTTGTCTATTTTACATTCTATTTCCAAATTTCAAATAAAATTGTCTTTGATTAACAACTGTTTGGCAAATCTCTTTATTCTTTGTATAATCTCTGATGTTGTAGATGGGTTTAAAAAAAAACAAAAAAAAAACCAGCCTACAAAGAACTGGCAAACCTTATGCCATCCCTGTGGTGTATATGAATTCATTTCTGATTAACAATAAAGTCAATAAACTTCTGAAGATAATGCATTGAAGAAATAACAAGTTAAAATATGGACTGTATTAAACAATAAATTATTGTTACCATATTGTGAGATATTTTAGATACCTTTTACCCTTTATCAAGTCAATAAACTTGCTAAATAATTCTAAACATATTTTGCAAAGATACCCAGATATGACATTTCTACTTCACTTTGTCATTTTACACTGTGAAATACTGCTACACATTTTGCAATACAAGATTTGAAAACATAATCTAACACATAAACACATGCACACACACAGATAGATATGCTCTGATGTTGTTTTGTATATATGTATGTCAAGAATAGAAGCCCCACACATACATACACTGATCAGCCACAACATTAAAAATACTGGCAAGTGAAGTGAATAGCATTATTTATATTCTTACAATAGCATCTGCCAGAGCATTTCCAAAACATCAAGTCTTTTGGGGTGTTCCTAGTATGCAGTAATTGGCACCTACCTAAAGTAGAGCTGGGAAGGACAACCTGTGAAACAGCATCATGGTCATGGGCGCCCAAGGCTTATTGATGCACTGGGGGATAGAAAGATCACCCATCCGGGATGATAGAAAGGTGTCATAACACACAGTGCACCTCAGTTTGCTGTGTGTGGGGCTGTGTACTGCAGACAGGTCAGAGTGCCCATTATGACACCTATCTATCTCTGAAAGCACCTTCATTGGTGATGTAACCATCAGAACTGGATGATGAAGCAAAGGAGAAGGGTGCCTGGTTTGATTAATCACATTTTCTTTAAGATACGATGGATGGCCCTGTGCGTGTGCATCATTTACCTGTGGAAGAGATGGCAGCATGCATTATGGGAAGAAGGCAGGCTGGTGAATGCAGTGTTATGCTCTGCTCATGTTCTGCTAAGAAACTTTTAACAGGATAATGCCTCCTGTATCAGCACAACAATTGCTCAGAAATGGTTTGAGGTACATTAGAAAGAGTTCCAGGTGTTGCCTTGGCCTCCACATCCCAAGATCTCCGATTAAACATCTGTGGGATGTGCTAGAACAACAAATCTGATCCCCTAATTGCAACTTGCAAGACTTAAAAGATATGCTGCTTACATCTTCATGCAGATATTGCAGGACATGTTCAGAGGTCCTGTGGAGCCCATGCCTCAATTCATCAGAGCGGTCTTGGCAGCATGAAGTGGACTTACACAATATTAGATCAGTGTTTAGCATACACATATTCCCTCATATGTACTATATATTTCAGTTGTGGGCATATACTAGCATACATAAAATATATAGTATATAGTATTCATAAAAGTGTATCAATTAAACTGTAAATAGCTCCTGACTTATTCCTCCCTTGCAACTGTCATTAGTCTAATACTATCCTTACCATTTGTGTCAGTTTAACCCACTTCCTCTAGCATGTAATCTCATTGAGCAGGGCCCTCAACCCCTCTGTTCCTGTGTGTCCAACTTGTCTGGTTACAACTACATGTTTGTTCGTCCACCCACTGTAAAGTGCTGTGGAATTTGTTGGCGCTATATAAATAATACCATAATAATAATAATAATACAAAAGTACACTGCTTCTTGATTTGTATTTGTACACTGCTTCTTGATAAGTATTCACTTAGGGAACAGTTTGGTAATGACCTCTCTGCATTGTAGATTGTAACAATTCTTTTGCAATGGACTGTAAGTGTTAATACGATTTCAGAATCTGCCGTATTACAGACATCAGCTCTGCTCAGCTCCCTGTATTGTTTTCCCTGGGGGGTTGTAATATCCATACAGGAAATAATGGTTTTTACTGTGAAGCTGGAAAAAAAAAAATCATAGCTTACGCGTACAGTTTCCTATGCTCTTAAAAGCAAAAGATTACAGAAAAAAGTGCTCTTGCCTCTGTGCTATTAAGCAGTAACTATTGTTTGCTGGCTAAAGCACATTATTCATTAAACTGCATTAGGAAAGAGAGGCAGGAATTAAAGCCATATTTGCAAGCCCCGTGAAATACTAACTACTGGATATGACTTTTGTTCTAAGGGGGCGATGGGGTAATGTACAGTTCACTGCAATACAGAAAATAATTATATACTTATGCTACCTTTTGGTATTTTAAACGCACACTTTTGTTAACCCCTTAA